CCGGCGCGGGCAGGTCCGGCTGGCGGAAGGGACGATTCCGGGTCCCCACCGCGCCCCATCCCAAAGGTGCCGATTGCCCAGGAAGGAGGAATGGGGTTTCGATCACCCAGCTGCAGCCGCGGGAGGTGTGTAACAGGGACAGGGGGCAGCATCAAGTGACAATCACGGGTCCTGCTTTCGGGCATGTTGCACTCGCCTTGTCCCTCCGGGCTGGCACCCACCGTGGGGTGAGTCTCGGCTCCCCCGAGATGCATCCAAGCCCCCGACCGTCTTCCTCGGGGATAGGGAGTCCCTGCACGGCGCGCTGTCCCTTGCTTGTTCTCTTTCCCCGGGCTTTTCTTTGCGTCTGTGCTAATACCGTCCTAACACCTCGCTCCGGCCTGGAGGGAACCATCCCTGGACCAGGATGCGTCTGTCTCCAGACAAAAACCAGGCTACCTCGGTCCTTGGGAAACGGGCATGTTTTCTCTCAGTAACAGAACAGAAAACCTTAATTCAATTTTTTTTCCCCCGTGCGGAAGCCGGGAGGGTGGCGTCAGGGGGAGGAGAGCTTCTGCTTTTACTTCAATTAAAACCTCAACCCTCGGTTTCCTTCGCTGCTCTTCTCCGCCCGCCGGAGGCTCAGTATCGTTTCCCTGCTCTGAGGAGACGCTCAGTAATAATTAATGTCCTTCTCCACTGGCAGGCGCGGGGGGAGGGAGGGGACGGCGGTGTCTGAAGCCGGGGCGGCTTCTCGGGGCAGCCGCTGCTCCTGCTCCGGCCGAGGCTCCCGGCGGCTGGATGCCACCATCTGCATCGCCCGGCGCGCTCAGCCACGAGCTGGGCACATGCCTGCGGGTGAGGGAACCCGCCTGAGCGCTGCTGGTTGCGCCGGGCTTCGAAGCAATTAGTGAGAAAGCTTAATTAGCCGCTGCAGCTCAGCCTGTTCGCCGCTCGCGTTTCATCTGATCTTTGTTTTGATGGTGTCGCCGGTACAAATCCTGCCTCCCCGGGGAAGGGAGGAGAGCTTAAGGAACCGTAGGACCCGTGCTCTCAGAGCCGTCTCAGTCTTTGTCACGACGGGGACGTGGGGACGCTCTCGGGGACGATGGCATTTTGCTGTGCTGAGCCCGAGGGACGGCGCCGGCTGCCCGCAGAGCCCCGTGCCCGCTCCCTGAAGCAATAACCGCTAATACCCGCGGGAAGGGCCGGCGAGGAGGGACCCCCGCACCCGAGGAAGGTGCTCAGGGGGTGCTGGGGGGGGGCGCGCTGCAGCTGCCAGGGGGGGTATAGGCAGCGACGGGAAGGGGAGAGCGGGCAGAGCTGGGGACCTGGCACGCAGTTTGGCACCGAAATCTCTGCCAAGGGGTGGAGGGAGCCGCTGGATCCCGAAATCATGTCCCACCGTGGGGGAAAGGCCCTGGCAAAGCTCCTGGCCCGGGGAGGGGGGACCCGCCTGGCCCCCGGCTGCTGGTTTGGACGTTGAACTTATAATCCCCACCGCCT